GTCCTCCTGCGGGAGGGGGGGGCAGCGTGAGAGTGGAGGCCTCCGGGGGGCCAGCCTCCGCCTGCGCAGCGCCCTGGTCTGTTTTATTTCTTCTGCACTGTAAAGAGAACAGTCACGGCAGAACAGAGCTTGTTTGGAGGATTTGGGGTTTTGTTTCCAGGCACGAAACGGCACCAGGGTCGTCTGATTGGGTCTCTCGGTGGAAATGAGCCCCCACCTGCGGCAAGGCATGGGTTCACAGCGCCACGCGACCCCCAAACAGAGAACCATCGAGGCCTGAATTTTTTAAACAATTCCCTTTGCCAATTTGAGTTCAGTAGTGGTCATTTGCCGTCGACAAAGTAATGGTGAGCGTGACAAGCGGCGGGGGGCCGAGGGGACTGAGGCACATAGAGGGTGCTCCCGAGCTAATGCCCGTGCAGGCCCCTGCCCCACAGAGAGCACGGAACGCACTTCATTTCCGACACTTGCACAGTGGGGGCCATGGATTTTGAAGCCGGGCGGGCTGATTACACACCTGAGCTCGTCTTCCCTCTCCAAAGTGGCCAAGGTTGCCCATGACCCCACCGCTGAATCCCAGGCTTTCTGCCCCAGGTTGAACCCCCGTGTTCTATAGCTCAGTGCCTCCTTTAAGGCCCGGGCCTGGAATCGTATTCAAATGCAGATTCTGATTCAGTGGCTCTGGGCCCGGGCCTGAGACTCTGCATTTCTGACACATTCCCGGTGTCAGCAGCCGCTGGAGTAGCGAAGTCTAGGGGAAAAGCTTAGACTGACCAGTGCAAGAGGCAGAGAGGCTTGGGGGGGGCTTGCAAGGCGGGTACGTGCAGGGAGGGAAATGGACAAACCGCCCCGCAGAGCCCAGACACGCGGAGCTGCGCCGGCCGTTGAGCAGCTGAGAGTCACCCTTGAAAATGGTGCCCCTGCGGGGTTCACTTCCCTTGGCCAGCTCTGGGGCTCACAAGAGTTACTGCCAGACTTCCACCACGTGCGTTGGTTATGTCTGGTCTGTGCTGGCCGTCCCAACAGGAATGCTTGCAGGGCAGGCCCACCATTCACCAAGTGGCATCACAACCATGATCTTCGGTGACGCTCACAAAACTCAGCCAGACACAACACTGGCCCAGGCCGCAAGGCTCTCAGAGCGGAGACTGGAGCTGGCCACCTCGGCTTCCCAGGCCCCCGGCTCTTCCCACACCCTTTCCTAATGATCCGGGCATAAGGCAAGGCAGAAGCCAGTCCCACTCGGCTGGGCCCTGCCGGGGATGGGGTCGCTTCTCAGAGAGGATCAGCCCGTGTCCCCCACAGGCTCTTACCCCATTCCCACCGCCCCCTCCCCAAGGAGCTGGGCGGCACCCTTCCGTGGTCTTCACCCCAAGCAAGCTGGCTCCCTCAGCTCCATGTGGCTGGGCCTCACCTGTGAAATTGACGGTCACGGCCACAATGATGATGATGATCCCCATGATGATGAAGGTGATGCTGAGCAGGCGGGCCAGGTGGCCCAGCCTCCGGGCCCCGTCCAGGTCCCCTTGTTGCACGCTACTTCGGGACTGCAGAGAGACAGTGGCAGAGACCTCGGGAAGGCTGCTCCCAGCAGACCTGTGGGGGGCCCCTTGCCTATGCCTCCCGAACCCACCCAGCCCCCACCACAGCCCACATTGCAGCACCCACCTTGGGGACGGGAAGCAGGCTTCTCCTGCAGAACTGGCCTGGATTCCCACGCCCCTTGTGGGAACCCCCAACCGAGCCTGCCCCTCGCTGGAAGCAGAACCGAGCAATGCAGGGCATTTCCTCTCAGGACGGTGATGAGGCAGGTGTGCGGGAGGATGGGCCGGGGCCAGGCCATGCTGAGCTGGCAGGAGCAGATGAGCCAGGCCTCCCTGGACCCCTGCCCAAGGCTCACTGCTATGACCACACTAAAATGGCCCCTTGGCTTTTTCCGTGGCCTGAAGTGCCTGCCTCTTTTCCTCTGTGACCCCTCTTCCACAACAGGAAAAAAGTATAATTGATCCTACCTTCTCTCATTTCCCACCCAGGAACCACATCCCTATTCAAACAAGCCGACTTCCCAAATCACATCAGAAAGGCAGGCATCTTGGGCTTGAACTAGAGAGGCTGGGGTGTGTGGGGAGCCTCGCCGGGCTTCACAGGGGCCCATTTGATACTTTACTCTCTCTCAGTGAGCTCGGGTTTTCTCAGCCTTATTTAATTTGGTGAAAGCAGGTGGGTGAGTGTGGGGATGACCAGAAAGGATCTTGGGAGGCCCTGGAGTGGCTCAATAGGAGGTGTGTCCCAAGCATGTCCATGGAGGTGCCACACCCCTGCCCGGGATGGTTCAGGAGTCAACCTGCTGGCCGGGGCTGGCCTGTGACCTCCAGACTCCTTCAGCTATGGAACTCTCTGATGCTTCCTGGACTTCTAGAACAGCTACAGGCAGGAGTCCCCTAAAGGTGTGACTGCTTTCAAGGTCTAAGGCCACTTATTTGGTTATCTTATTTTCCAATTATTGGGGGCTCCTGAGTTCAGCATGGAAATGCAGCTGAGTCCCTTGATGATGGTGGTGGTGGCGGTGGTGATGATTTATTGAACTCTTACTTTGTGCCGGACAGCTTGCTAAGGACGGTACCTGAATGATCTCTTTGAGGGATCTCACAATCCTTTGCGGTTGGCAGTGCTGTCCACTTTTAAAGAAGCTGAAGTTCAGGGAAGATACTTTTGCCTCTCTGTTCTCTTCATGAGGGCACCACCCTCCCCCAGGTCCTGTCCTTTTCTCCTCGCAGAAACCTAACCAACCCCCTACCCCACCCCATGGCTCCCTATTCAAGCTCCTCCCAGGACAGAGCCACCTCCTGCCAGTGTTTGATCCCACCAGATTTGCTTTGCCTCAGATCTGCTCCTGGCCTTGTGCTCCTCGCCCACTTGCCCCATTACTGGTCACAGCCTGGAGTCCTCCCATTCGGTCACAATGCCTGTCCCATGCCGCCCAACCAATAAGTTTCCTCTCCTGGTCAATTCCATTGCAGTCCTCCCTGGCTGCCTTGCACCTGCCCTGGGTCCATGCCACTTCTCACTCAAGCCAGCACAATGGCCTCCTGAAGATCCAGCCTCCAGCTCTATGCTCTTCCTCTCCAGGCCACTGCCCACACCACCATTCCCCTCCACAGAGATTGATGCCGGGCCCTGTGCTAGGCCCCTGGCATGCGGTTGTGGGGCAGGATCAGAGAGGAGGTGGAGAGTCGGGAGCTGATGCTCGAGTTTAAGGAGATGATGGTGGCTTAGCCAGTGATCCTGCCCAGCATATTCCACGGCCCCCCACTGTCCCCAGAACAAAGTCTGAACCCAGGTTAGCTTTGCCCTTCCAGATTTTATCCTTTTCTCTTCCACAACCTCTGGGCCCAGCCAGTCTGAACTCTTCTAGGGTCTGAACACCTGCCAGTGCAACTCTCCTGCCCGCCTTCCCGCTCCCCCTCAACCATCTATGACATCCTCTCCATCCTTCGAGGACTGCCTCCAATGCCACCCCCTCTGGGAAGCCTACCAAGACTCCTCCACCTCCACCAGCATAATATTAATAATAATCCCTAACCTTATTTAAACATCTACCTTGGACCAGGAACCGTGTTAAACCTTGCCATCCAGCAGAGCATTAGAGCATCCTAACACTCCTATGAGTTAGGGAGTGTTCTTAGGCCATTTTATAAATGAGAGGCTGGAGCACAGAGCATCATGTAGGTGTGAGAGAAGCAACTGGAGAAGGGAAGAAAGGCCAGGTCAGGAAGGGCGCTATCACAAAATGGAATCTGGATTTTGTCTGGTAGGCATGGTTGGGGGGTGGTGCTAGAACTGGGTGAGACAAATAGAGGATTTCATCAAAACAGGAAAGAAAAAGATTCAGTCAGAGGAAGAAGCTGAAAAGACCAAGAAGTGATTGGTGCCCCAATGTCCCAGGGCAGCAGAGAGAGAGATCTGAACTTGAGCACAGGGATGAACTACAGGCAGCAGAGGAGAGAGCTACCGTCCTTGGAGACTGGACAAATGTGGGTACAGGTGGTCTCACACCTCAACAGGTCTGCAGGTAGGTCTGGGCAGAAAGTTGTGAGTGTCCATGCCTCTGGACCTCAGGGTGCCCAATGACAGTGGACGAGTGTCATCCAGTGAGAGATTAAAGAGAAGGTGGGTCTGGCTTGAGGAGGGGCATGGGCAGGGGCTCAGGCAACAGCCCATCCTGAGACTCACAGGCACACCTGGACCTGGCAAGGACTCGACCGGGGGCAGGTGTAGCTGGGCAGCCCGGAGGGGAGCACAGGTCTTGGAGACAGACCTCCTGGGGGCCTGTCCCCACCCTCCACAGCTGTCCCAGCTGCATGACCCCAGGTGAGAGGCTTCTTCTCTGTCTCTCCTCATCCTCAAATACAATCAGGTATGAGTTCCTGACCTTTCTAAGGTCCCTCAGATCTGTCCGTACCTTTCCAGCCAACTCCACTGCCCTAGCCCACTCCCACGAGAGATCTCATCTAGACACTACACCAGCCTCCTCCTCACTAGTCTCTTTGCTCCAGCCTTGCCCCCAGCCGACCTCTTCTCAACAGCCAAGGTCAGCTCTTTAACCCAAGCCTGGTCATATGACACCCCATAAAATGGATACATTTTTTAAATTAATTTTTTCTGTTTCTTTTTTCAATTTTTTTAAAAAAAAATTTAAGTAGGCTCCATGCCCAACATGGAGCTTGAACTCATGACCCTGAGATTAAGATTAAGGTCGCATCCTCGACCAACGGAGCCAGCCACATGCCCCAAAAGAGACACATTTTTATGACTCGGTGCTTTTTCGTGGACTGCTGTCTCTGCTGGAATGCCTTTCCTCATTACCGTGTTGCTACCTCCGTAGCTCTTCTCACCCTTCAAGAGTCGCCTCCAGTAAAACTTCCCTTGGTGCCCACAAGCAATTAATCAGCCCCTCCTTGGGGCTCCCGTAGCATCTTAAACCATGCTCTTTTCCTCCCTTCCCACTTTGTGTCATTAGTTCTGTGTCAGTCTCTTGCCCTAGACTTGAAGACAGGGACCGCACAACCTCAAGCTTGGGGTCCCTCTTATGTAACCTAGGGACTGGCCCTAAGAGGCGTTCAGTAAGTATTTGAGGAAGTAAAGATTGAAAGAAGAGAAAAAGAATGAGGGGAGAGTCTGTTTTCTAACTGCTGAACTTAGCCAGTGGAATGCTCCAAGTTAATAGAAGATTCATGAATGAAATAAAGGCAATGGGTCCCACAGGAAAGATATCTGTTATCTGGGTTTTGGCCCCACCCACTAACCCATGCCACCTCCGGCTCTCTGCATGGCCAGCCCAGGTCACTGAACAAAGGACTTCGACACCAAAGCAACACCTTCCTCTTGGGAGGAAGCGGAGGCAACATACAGAAAAGCTTCAGGAATTTCCAGGAAGTTCGGCGTTAGAAATTCTGGGGCTACCTTGAATCATTACCAAGAGACTCATTCTCAGCTGTAAGCATGGCATGCTTACATGCCATGGGGAGGGCCATGGGGAGGGCCACAGGGCTGGAGATAAGTCCTGCTCCTCACTTGCCAGAGAAATCACTGTGCATTGGGCAGGACATTGGTTCAGGACCGTGGAGAGAGGTGCACGTGTTGTTGCTTGGGTATCAGAGGTGGGGAGGGGAAGCAAGAGAGGGAGAGATGAACTTTTCAGTCATCTAAACCCAACCAACCCCTCTTCTTTATCCACAGAGCCATCAGCCTATGCAACCCAGTCATGCATGTTCCTTTGAGCCTGAGAGACAGCGTTGAGGGAGATGCACTGGAAAAGACCGAATGAGCAGGGCAGACCTGACTGCACCTGCTTTGTTGGATCATACACTTTACCTGTCATACGCCGTCCAATGTAAACCTCACAACTCTTCTTTAAGTCTTAGTTTTCTGATCTGTAAAATGGAGTCAATAGCTGCCTTGAAGAGTAGAGCCCTACTTTTATAGATAGAAGTTGCTTGCCACCAGCTGGCACTCGTTTCTGAAGTCCCCCCATTAGTTTCCAAGTGAAAAACCCATCCCTGGACCTCAGGGATGGAAGAAGACCCTTCATTACTTTTTATGAGTAAATTACCAGCTGCATTTCAAACCCCACTTAGTGGCATCCTCTTCCCCTTATACAAAATGGCTCAAGTTGAAGACACAATGATAACTGCAGTGATGGTTGTAATGACTGTGAATTAATAGATCATTTGTGATTGCAATGGTTGTGGGAATGGTAAGGGAGAAAATGAATTCGGGTTAATAGGTCAGTGAAGAAAGGCACTGAAAAGAGTCTGAGAGCTGGTAGGGGGTGGGGAGGGAAGTGGATGGGGTAAGGAAGGTGCTGGGGAGAGCTGCCAGGGGATGAAACCAGCCAGGGGAGGGTGGTAACAGAACTTATCAGGAAAGAGTTTCCTCCGCCCATGAGGCTCTGGTCAAGCCCTAGCAGATCTGTGGAGAACTGAAAAGATGTGATCAGCTGCTTGATGATCAGCTATTTGTCCTTCCACAGAGATCAAGCAAATCCGGGCAGGTCAAAGCCAAGGGATGTGCCTCCCCATGCCCCCTTCACGTCCCTCTCTCTACAACAATGCAATTCTTTCTGGAATGCCCTGATTACAGGGTTAACTTCAGTTGCTGGAGAGTGGGGAGGTATGGGGGGGCGTGGTCCTGGGGAAGGAGTCAGGGCAGCTGCCATGTGGTGGGTGGGAGTGGGAGTAGTTGGGGATGCTTAGGACCTGGAGACAGCAACTGTTTGCCAACCCATTCAGAAGTATGTCAATATTCTCAGCCGCATGTCTGGGTGCCAGCAAATCATCAGTGCTGGTTGGGGCTCAGTGCTCCCGCAGGGTGAATGCATAAATGCATGAAAGGGAGCCTGCAGCAGGTCAGTTAAATAACCAGGTCATCCCGAATGCCTGAGAAAGGAGGTGTTGAGCCACTCTGGACCTCTTTCACACTCCTGCATGGGGTAGGAGGAAAGACAGAGAAGGGGCTGCTCGGAGGCTTCCACCAAAACCACAGACAGGGCTGCCCCTCCCCCCGCAATAGTGTCATGAGGACTGACACTCCAGTCTCCCCCAAATTGGCTAAAGTCAGAATTGCTTGTCCACTGGGGATCTGCCCTTTCCTCTGACATTACAGTGTTTCATTTAGCATTAATGATAACTGTAACCGCTTCCATTTTCTATGTGGCAGGCTCTGTGCTAGGTGTTTTCACACATATTAACCCAGTTAATCCTCCGGCCAGATTTATGGGGTTGACGGTCTTATTACACCTATTTTATAGATGAGAGAACTGAGGCTATAGAAGGCGGTTGAGGGATTTGGACATGGTCTCATGGCCTGGGAAGCACACCCGGGTCTATCTGATACTGGTTTAAGCACTGTCGTCAGCTGAAGGCCTGGGGTCCAGCTCCCCTTGTGGACAGGAGACCTTGCTGGCATTGAGGAACATGGCCTTTTCTCAGCCTGACCCAGGAGTAGAATGGATGAAGCCAGGTGCCCTGGCCACCTCGGGAGGCTCAAGGGAGGCGGCAGTGCTGAGCAGGGCTGGGTCTGGATACCTGGGATCCCAGCCCCTCGGGTTGAGCTCCTGTCACAGCAGGCCCCTGTCTGAGTCACAGTGGGAAGGACGCTGCTGGTCCATTAGTCTCCCACTGGTGGAATCAATAGGGGTGGGGAAGGACAGCGGGTGGGAGGGGGGAGAGTGGAGAGAAAGAGGGAAGGAAGGGGATTCTTCCCTCCCTGAACAAATGCCCCAAAGTTTTGGCTTTCCTGGGAGGGACACACCATCCTTGTCCCCAGAGGTAGATGCAGGGCGGGGTCATGGAGACAACACTAGATTCAGCATCCGGCTGACATGCCTCTTACCAGTTGTGTGACCATGGGCAAGGCACTGCTCAGGTGTCTCTGTTGCCTCATGTGTTAAATGAGAACAATTAGCCCTTAACACGGGGCTTCCTCAGGCTCCTTCTTCCTGGCTTCTCGCGGTTCTCTTTGGAAATTCATTTCCACAGCTATACTCTCCCTCGCCACTACCCCACACGGCCCCTCTGCTGAAATCTCAGCCCCTGGTGTCTCTCTCACGCCTCTCTCACATGGCATCTGTCCTTCAACGTCTTTGAGCCTCAACCTGCGACCCCTCCCTCTCCTCCAAGGTCATCACAATCTTCCCAGCCTCACTCCCTCCCAGTCCAGCCTGATCCCTGAGTGTGCCACCTCTGTCCCCCTCACCAGCATCATTCTGTGCCACTGGGTCTGCCCTCATGGCAACTCTGCCATCCTCAGCCTCAGGTGGGCCCAATGTCCCATCTGTGACTCCATACCTATAGCTGCAGAAAAAATGCACCACCACGCAGACTGATAACAACTCAGACCCATGGTCTCCAGCCCCAGCAGAGCCCTCAGGCCATTGACCTCTCTGTTCCTTGTCACCTCTCCTCTCCCCTGTCACCAGGCCCTTCTTTCTCAGCAAATGGCCTTGCCCTCCACATCCCTGCTGGCATGAAGTCCATACAGCATAAACCAACTCCTTTTCCTTTGAGTATTTTTATCTGCTTCTGCCCTCATGGCCTTTCCTGCAGGCTCCCGGGGACAGGGTCCTTCTTCGGCATCCCATCTCTTCATGAAACTCATCAGTCACCTCTCTCCTTTTTGCCTAACCCTGTCCATCACCAGGGTAACCGAGGGTCGGTAAATGGCCCAGCCAGTGGACACTCCCATCTTTATTGGACCTGACCTCTGCACTGCATGTGACCATCCCTCCTCCTTTCAAACTTGCTCTTCCCTGGGCGTCTCCCCCTCTCTTCTATTTAGCCTCCCACCCCCCCCGAAATATTCTTTTCAAAACTCCTTCCTGGGGTGCCTGGGTGGCTCAGTCGTTAAGCGTCTGCCTTCCGCTCAGGTCATGATCCCAGGGTCCTGGGATTGAGCCCCGCATCGGGCTCCCTGCTCAGCGGGAAGCCTGCTTCTCCCTCTCCCACTCCCCCTGCTTGTGTTCCCTCTCTCGCTGTGCCTCTCTCTGTCAAATAAATAAGTAAAATCTTTAAAAAAAAAAACTCTTTCCTGTCCACTTCCTTCTGCCCACCCCTTAAATGCCGCAGTCCCCAGCGCTGTCTTAGAGACAGCTCTATCTTGGAGTTGGATAATCAGGAGTGTGAAGAAAGTGCTGTTATTTTCTCTTCAACAATTCTCTCATTGGTGCCCTCCTTCCTAAGCCACTGCTTGGTCCATGCCTTCATCAGCCCACCTGGACTGTCTCAAAAGCCTGCTATGGGGTCTCCCTACTCCCAGTCCTGCCAGGTCAGCTCATTTCCCACAGTGCAGTTGGGTGTTGGTTTTAAAATTTGAACAGACCACATCATGCCTCTGCTTAAAATTTTTCAGGGGATGGGCGCCTGGGTGGCTCAGTCGTTAAGCGTCTGCCTTCGGCTCAGGTCATGATCCCAGGGTCCTGGGATCGAGTCCCACATCAGGCTCCCTGCTCGGCAGGAAGCCTGCTTCTCCCTCTCCCACTCCCCCTGCTTGTGTTCCTGCTCTCGCTATCTCTCTCTCTGTCAAATAAATAAATAAAATCCTTAAAAAAAATTTTTTTTTCAGGGGCTCCTTCAGGGCCACTGGGATAAAACTTAAATTCCTAGAGCGGGTCCCTGCCCACCTCCTTCCATCATCATACCCTTGCATCCTTTGGCCATGTCAAGCAGACCATGTCATCCATCCTCCCAAATGCCTAGCATGGCACCTCATTGGTAAAAGAGGCATATTCATTCAAGGGGGACCTAATCATTCTCTACCATTTAGTTGCCTCCAAACAAGCAACTTGCCAGTCAAGTGAATGATTGACTGAGTAAATAAATAAATGTTCTGTGTTAACAACTCTTAGGTTTCCAGAAACCCTATCTGCCCCTTGCCAGGGCCTTGGTCCAGACCTCTTCATCTCTCACCTAGTGTTCCTGCAAAGGTTCCTTCTCCCAACTGCCAGGCTCAGAGAGGCTCCTTCCACCCCTCCTCTTACCTGCTCCACCAAAATGGAAACCTGACCACACCTTTCTTTGGCTCCGGGCCCTGTGATGTAAATGCCAGGTGAAGCTTGCTGCTGGTCCCAAAGGACCACATGCTGTATGATTCCACCGGTATGAACTGTCCAGAAGAGGCAAATCCATAGAGACAGAAAGATTACTGGTTTGTTAGGTCTGAGAGGGATCAAGGGAGAGATGGGTTGATTAAAAAAAAAAAAAAAAAAAAAAGGATGGGCTTTTCTGGAGATGAGGAAAACGTTCTACAACTGACTATGGTTATGGTTGCATGGATCTGTGAAGATACTAAAAATCTTTGAATTGTACACTTTGAACAGGTGAATTGTATGATATGTGTATTATATGTCAAAGCTCTAAGAAAACCCCAAAAAACTCATGATGGCTTCCCACCCCCGGCCAGGGAGACACTCAGGTCCCACTCAATTACTGCTAAGGTGTAAGAGCACTTGCTCTTCAGCCCTTCGTGCAGCTCATCTCACTTCACCCCCACACAGCTCTCTAATGTAGGTGTTATGTGACACCCATTTTGCAGATGGGAATACTGAGAAGAGAGATTTCAGTGACTTGCCCAAGGTCCCACGATACGCTGAGGTTTTGTCTAGCATGAGCACTTCTTGCAATGGGTTATAGGATCTGTTTACAAGTTTCTCCCCACTGGACTGGAGGCTCCTGGGAATTGGTGATGGGGTCTGGCTCTGGCTTAGCACTGGATTCCCTGCCCCTGACCCAGTGGCCTCCGGAACTGACTAAGGAACCTGAGAAGGCTGTAGAAATGCCCTGGGGGCGGGCTCAGTGGTCTCACAGTCTTGGATGCAGGCGCCTTTGACAAAGGCAGCGTCTACCCAGCCTGCACCCTGCTGCCCCCACAAGGAGATGGATTCCAGCAACTGTTCTCTCCTGGCCCCTGTGTGGCTTCCCTCCCCGAAGCCTATCTCCCCTCCTGGGGCTTCTCCCTGTAACCAAGAGGTTGGCCCTGCCCAGAACTCCCAGCTGCACCCCTGGGAGCTGGTTCTGCCCCCAGCCACCCCCAAGTACAGCAGGCAGCACAGGAAACTCCTCAAAGACCCGCCCCCCACCCCCGGCCCCTGCTCAGCCCTTCCTCTTGTGCCCATGCCAAGTCTCAGGAATGCCACCGGGGTCCCCTGATATCCTGGCAGGGGGAGCTAGATTTGATGGGGGGTCAGGGAAGGCATCCCTGGCTGGACACTGGGCCTTCGTGAAGTGGAAGGAGGTGTTTGAGGAGACAGGGGCTTTCTCAGAGGACAGCCCGGGGGCAGCAGAAGTGACCACAGCTCCTGAGGACTCGGTGATAGATGACTCAGCAGGGGAGTCACTCCAGAGGGAAGCAGACAGCATCTCCCCACCCTGTCCCCCAGCCCTGACCAGCCTGGGGCTGGGGGTTTACTATTCCCACTTTCTTTTTACCTTCTGGAAGCCATTGCCTGCCCGGTCTCTCCCTCTCACCCTCCCCTCCCTCCCTCTTCTTCCTGGACCTCGAAAGTCACTTGCCAACATCTACGGACATTTCTGTGGATCTTCTATAAGTAGTTCTATCCAAATGGCTTGGTTTGGGGACAACCTAAGACTGTTTACTAGGAAGCTTACAGGACAAGTGTGTGAGAAGCAAAGACTAGCCCACATGCTCCTCCTTGGCAGGGCCAGCCATGTCCTCTGACACACATTTTTCACCCACGGCCCAGACCTCCCCTACCCTAAAAACAGACTAAAGACAGATGCTGAAATCAGTGTGACACCAAGTCCAGAGGGCCCCAGCAAAAACAGCCTCACCTCCCCAAAGGGGCAGCCTCAGGGGAGCCAGGCCCCAGGGCCCCCGGCGCATGGCAGGGAAGCCACAACCAGCTCTTGGAAACCAGAGTTGGCAAAGGCCTTCGGAATACCCAGGGGGCCCGGGGTGAGGGGTGGGGTCAGCTGGATCCCCTCCCAAGAACTTGGGGTCCTGAGCCCCCACGCTGGACAAACCTCTACTGACACACAGCCCTGCTCAGGATGACTCCTCAGGACACCCCCCTGCAAAAGGCAAGCCCCCCAACTTGCCTGCCTTTCTGCAGTGTAGAGTTTGGCTCCAGGTGGCTCCCTGGGTCCCCTCCCCAGCAGGGATGTGTGCAAAGTCAAGCTGTGACACCGAAGAGCAGAGAAGAGGGAAGACAGCAAACAGAAGTTCTCCTGGCCCTGGCCCCCTCTCCAACAGGGGCAGTAGGCCCGGTGAGAAAGGGAGTCTGCCCCCAGCCCCCAGCCCCCAGCTCTCTCTTCCTCACGCCCTGAGCAGAGGGTCTGGCGTCTGCCCAGGGAACACACCTGCTGAGCCCTGGAACAGAGAGCAGCACTTACCATGATGGAAAAGATGAGGGGGATGAGGTTGAGGGGCCACACGGGGCAGAAGCAGGAGGCAATGGCAAGGATAAGGTAATCTTTGGGGACTTCTTGGTCCTGGGCAGAGGACGCAGTGGCAATGGAGGACGCCCGCCTAGAGCTGGCCCGAGAGGCCGACCAGGGGAGCGTGGCGTCCTGGCGCCCCTCGGATACCACCTTGAAGGGCAGGCCGTGGCCATTCTGCTCCAGGTCCAGGGCCCTCGAGAGGGACTTGGACAGCTTCAGCGGCTTGTCATCCTTGCCTTCCACCTTCGTGAGGAGCATCTCCATCTCCGGCAGGTCCAGGGGTAAGGCGGTGCCTGGCTCCTGGGCTGAGGGAAACTGAGGCTGCAACGGGTTGGCCATGCTGGCTTGGGCCTTGGGTTGCTCCAGCTTCAGGCTGAGATGATCGGCTCCAGAGAGAGCTCAGCACACCATTCCTCTGCCCAGACTGGGGGCCGACAGGCCAGGGGCAGAAGCGTCCCCCAGGGGAGCAAGGGCTACCCGGGAGCTGGCCGGGGTCGGCTTCTCCGGGCCAGCTGAGTTCGGAGGCTGAGGCAGGCCCGATGCCCCCGCGGAGCTTCGGGAGGCTGGAGCCTTCAGCTCCGTTCAAGTTTGAGGCCAACTTTGCTGGTGCTGCTGACAGCAGAGATGGGCGGGGAAGTAACAGAAAGCAGCTCGAGGAGCTGAGCGAAGACGCTCCTCTCCCGGGTGAGGCTTAGGCTAAGTCAGAGAGAGAGAGAGTATACCGCACAGCCTCCCTCCCCCCACCCTCCTCCGAGATGCTTTTCCTTTTCAATTCCCCACTCCCCTGAGAACTGCCGAGCAGCCTGCTGCCTGGGCCCCAGCCCAGCCCAGCCCAGCCCAGCCCAGCCCAGAGGGACTTGGGTGGGCCTCTCATTCCCCTGCAGCCACAGAAGTTGCCTCTCTGGTCTGGGGGCTCCGGATGGGGGAACAGACACAGTGGGTCACAGAGGGGTGTGTCTTCACTGTCCTGGGCAACGGAGTCCTCTGCTTCTCTGCCCCTGGAGCAGGTCACACTTCCTCCTATCTCTGTCTTTCCTCCTCTCTGTCAGGGAACGCTGAGCCCTGGACCTAGCCTAGGGCATCCCACCTCGACCCTGACCTCCAGCCCCCAGAGGTGTTCTGGCCACAGCCTGGCTCCAGGAGGAGAGGGGGACTAAGCACCACCGGAGGATCCTGCCTCAATGGGTCTCTGAGCACCTCACCACGGGGTGTTAGGGAGGAAGTGTGGGCTCCATCTCATGCCTATCAGAGCTTTTCTGGGGTGTTTTTATTAATTTTTTTAAAGATTGTATTTATTTATTTGAGAGAGAGAGCATGAGCAGGGGGAGGGGCAGAGGGAGAAGCAGACTCCCCACTGAGCAGGGACCCCGATGCGGGGCTCAATCCCAGGATCCTGGGATCATGGCTTGAGCCGAAGGCAGACACTTAACCCACTGAGCCACCCAGGCGCCCCAGGGGTGCTTTTATTTTTTTTAAAGATTTTTTTTTTTTTTTTTTTTTTTTGAGACAGAGAGAATGAGAGAGAGAGAGCACATGAGAGGGGGGAGAGTCAGAGGCAGAAGCAGGCTCCCTGCCGAGCAGGGAGCCCGATGCGATGCGGGACTCCATCCAGGGACTCCAGGATCATGACCTGAGCGGAAGGCAGTCGCTTAACCAACTGAGCCACCCAGGCGCCCCTCCCAGGGGTGCTTTTAAAGAGCAGCAAAGACACTTCTGTTCAGGAGCTCCCTGGGGGCAGACGCCAGCCAGCTCCGAGGGACCTCAGTCCTGGTCACCTGTCCTCTCTGATTCTTGCTGTCTCTCTTCACTCCCTCTCCTGTCTTCTCCCTGTTTCAGCCTCCTCCTCTATGCTCCATGTCTCCTCTGTGTCCTTGATCTCTCTCCTTACAGTGTTTCGGAAGCGTGCCCTGGAACCACTGGGTGTGTGCATGTGTGTGTCTGGGGGTGGGGGGCGGCGGTGGAAGAGGGTAGAGGAAGGAATCTAAACCCCTAGGGTAATGCAGGATGGGGGGGAGGCAGAGGTGGGATGGGGCCTCAGAGGTTGTGAGGTTCAGATCCTCTGATATTCCAGATGGGAAAACTGAGGCCGGAAATGGAGGAACACTCCTCTCAACCAGACGTCAGTCCCTTGTCCAGGTCCCGGGGCCGGTTTGGAGCCCGATGAGCCATTGCAGTGGAAAGAAAGAGCTTTGGTTGGTGTGTCACCCTGGCTTCAGGCTTCAGAAGCGCTGCTTCCACCAAGGGCTGTGACCAGGCGGCTGCGAGAGGGGAGAACAGACCACAGAGGGAGGGAAGAGCCACCTGCTAGGGGTTCAGGGGGAGTCTGGGGAGCTGAAGAGGCACCTGGAGGCTAATAAGTTTCGACAATAGTGTATGGCTTCAGCACAAATTGTCAAGTTTGGTAAATTTGACTATATTAAATTAAGAATTTTCGCTCCAGGGGCGCCTGGGTGGTTCAGCCGTTAAGCGTCTGCCTTTGGCTCAGGTCATGATCCCAGGGGCCTGGGATCGAGCCCCGCGTCAGGCTCCCTGCTCCGCGGGAAGCCTGCCTCTCCCTCTCCCACTCCCCCTGCTTGTGTTCCCTCTCTCGCTGTGTCTCCGTCAAATAAATAAATAAAATCTTAAATAAATAAAAGAATTTTCGCTCCATAAAGGAAACCCATTGTTGTTTGCAAAATGCAGGCCTCCAGGGTAGGCAGTGAGAGAGAGAGAGAAAAAGAGAGAAAGTAGGGACTCATCTCGGTTCTGAAGGGAGGCTCTTCCTCGCCCAGGCCAGAGGTGGAGCAGGAGAGTGAGCTGGGCTTCCCTGCCAGGGAACTTCCAAAATTTGCTAATGTCTTTTTAAACAGGAGACCTCCTGCTGAGGGTGGGAAGTTCGGGGCCTCCAGAGGGCCTACAGCTGCCCAGGCCAAAGATTCCATAGCCTCTGGCCAAAGGAGCCCCTGAAATATAGCTGGTTTAAATTGAAATGGGCTGTAAGTATAAAACACACTAGATTTCGAATACTTAGTACAAAAAGGAATGTAAAATGTCTCATGAATACCGTGTACATTGATTACATACTCAAGTGATAGTATTGTTGATACACTGAGCTGAATAAAACATTATTAAAATTCATGTCACCTCTGTCTCTTCACTTTTTAAAAATATGCCTAGAAAATTAAAAATTAAAAACAGGCAGGCGCCTGGGTGGCTCAGTTGGTTAAGCGACTGCCTTCGGCTCAGGTCATGATCCTGGAGTCCCTGGATCAAGTCCCGCATCGGGCTCCCTGCTCGGCGGGGGTCTGCTTCTCCCTCTGCCCTCTTCCCTCTCGTTCTCTCTGTCTCTCATTCTCTCTCTCTCAAATAAATAATAAATAAAATCTTAAAAAAAAAATTTAAAACAGGGGTTGTATTACGCTTCTATTGGGCAGTGCTGGCCTAGAACAGAATGAACCCGACATAAAGGGGTCTTTTTGACATAATAAAAACCCTAAGAGAAAAAGAAAAAGCCAAGAAGTCCCCGGGGTGGCTGGTGACTGTGAGGTGGTAGGGTGGGCTGGCTTTCCGGGTCCAGGGTGGGGGCAGGCTTCTCTGGCCAATATGCACGGCTGGGCTCACGGTGCCACCTAGTGGCCTGGTAATGAGGAGGGGAATGACCAGAGGTGGGGTTGGGGGTCTGGGAAGGGGAGAGGCGGGGAGGAGCCTTAGGTTTGGGCTCAGGGCTGGTAAGCCCAGCCCAGCCAGTTGCCCTGGCTTCAGCCTGCGGTTGCTGCCTCCCCACGCCCCCCACTCCCAACTGGAGTCTTCAACGGAGGCCCATAGGCCATACTCATCATGCAAAATGGGTTTGGTCTGCACAGTGTTAATTCAATATGTGCTTTAAAAAAATCCATTTCACATAGACGTGGAGCTTCAGACTTTTCACATGAAGATCTGGGAACTCTGGGCCCATTTTCTGCAGAACAGCGAGCTGCTGGGCCAGCTGCAGCCTTCAGAAGGGGGCATGGAGCTCCTCCACCTTCACGAGGCCTGCCTGCCTTGGGGGGGGGGGGGGGGCGTTGAGCTGTGAGCCCCTGTGGCTAGACAGATGGATTAGCCTTTCTGTTCCAATGCTGTCCGGCCTGGCTGCTGACGAAAGTCACTTCCTTCTCTTCCTCACCTCCTGGCTTGGCTGTGAGGTCCTGGATGGGGCCGCTGGGCCCCCGGCTCCCTTGCCCAGGGTCTGGCCCAGTTACGGCTGGCTGGCTGAACCAGAGGAAGATGAAGACACCAACCAAGTGCCCAGAGTGTGTCCACATAGACACTAATTCCTACCTCTGCCTGCCCTGGGCTAGGCTCACCCCGCACCAGGGGCAGATGCCTCCTTCTGGAATCTGTGCACACACATGCGCACACACACACAGTACGAAAAACTTGATGTAATCCTGCTCCTATCAGCAAGCACCCGGGTTTCACATCCGGTGAGGTGGCGTCCCTCCTAAGGAATCCCCTCGGGATATTTTGTCCTTGCTGTCCTTGCTCAAAACATTTCCCTACACCTCTTTGGAAGGCGCTCTGAGGAGACAAATCTTTCACCTTTAGAAAGCAATTATGAAGAACCTAAAAGATACTAACTCTGTTTGCATCCCTCCAAATTCTCTTAGGGTATGTTCATGTACCTACATGTCTGTCTCCAGTTATAATCAGTGGGCACAGACCATTTTGTGATCTGCTCTGCTAACTCACGATGTTCACTCTGTTAGAACTCCAGAGTCAGCTTTGCCACGCCTCTATGGTTGGGCATTCGTATTATTGCAAATCCTTCCCTGTGCCGTGCCTCTGGGACTGCCTTTTTGCAAATCTGCTTTTCTTTTTTGGATTACTCCCTTGGAGTCTTTTTAATGTGATTTTGCCAATTTTTTCCTACCAGAAAAGGAACAGAGACACAGGACAACTAGCAAATCTATAAATGTACCCTTTTCTCCACACCCCTGATAACATCAGTCCTATTTTTGCTGGTATGTCTCCTTCATTGCTAGGCAGACAAGGTACTGCTCCCCGGGACGGAGACAACGGGATAAGGGAAGGGGTTAGAAGGCGCAAACTTCCTAAGGGAAGCCAAGAGACCGTGTGTATTGGAGCCCTTCGTGAGCTAAGAAGCTGCTGCGAGCATCTGTCATTCTTCTCTGCCCCCTCTCCTTCGAGGCTATTCCAGTGGACAGTCCCTATCAACCTTAGAGATACAGGATTTCTGTCTTTAGGTACACCAGGCCTACATATCTTTTTTTTTTTAATTTTATTTATTTATTTATTTATTTGAGAGAGAGAGAGAGAGAGAGAGAGAGAGCATGAGCTGGGGGAGGGGCAGAGGGAGAGGGAGGGAGAGAATCTCCGGCAGATTCAAGGTATTCTGGCCCAGGAGACCCTAATGTGTCAGGGAGTACCTGTTAGGTCGATCCATACACATATGCACACACAAATATTCACACATCCACACATCTATATAAGTACTCACATGATGTGTGTATGTCAGAAAACCTTTATGACAAAAAAAAAAAAACCTCTTTGAGGGGCGCCTGGGTGGCTCAGTCTGTTAATCATCTGCCTTTGGCTCAGGTCATGATCCCAGGGTCCTGGGATCGAGCCCCGCATTGAGCTCCTTGCTCAGCGGGGAGTCTATTTCTCCTTCTCCTTTTGCCCCTCCCCCTACTTGTGCGCTCTCTCTCTCTCTCTCTCTCGTTCATTCTCTCAAATAAATAAATAAAGTCTTAAAAAAAAAACCTCTTTGAATACTAGGCAAACACCTAACAGCATGCAAATATACACATGTGTGCACCCAAACACATGGTCCTGATAAGAGAATAACTAGTGTGTTGTGGACTTACGTTTATAAAACACCTTCCCGGGCATTCTCTCTTTATAACAACCTTGTGAATAGAATATGTCTCAATAGCTTCCACTCAGTGAGTGCTCACAGGGCCAGGCACTACACTAAGGGCTTGAAATGCATTCTCTCATTTCTCTGCGCAACAGCCTATGACGTAAGTCCATATTTTAGCTCATTATACAGGGCGGAACACCAAGGCTCAAAGCCCTTAGGTCATTTGCCCAAGGTCACTCAGCTGGAAAGTGAAGAGACTAGGTACTTTCACATCCATCCCTCCGACCTCACACATCTCCTGCACACTCGAGCTTCCACCTGCAGGGGGCGCCCTCACCATGCCTGAGCGGCGCGGGCCACCGAGCCAGATCGCTCACCTTTTTCTATCCTGGAACTTAACAAGCAGGACTTGCTGGTCAATTTTATTATGTTTCCAGGGCATAAAAACCTGGAGCTGAAGCGAGGCAGAAGCTCTGTCCAAACTGGTCATGAGATTTTAATAATACACAAACAGTAACAATTGAAGGAACACCTTCTCATTGCCACAAACAGTATCTTATGAATGAATGTTAACCCTCCCAGCCACCTTGAGATGGAATCATCTGGGTCAGCGGTGAGGAGCTAGAGGTTTAGAGAGGCTAAGATAGGCCATGGGTCACGCAGGGAGTGAGTGGCTGAGCAGAGGTTGGACCCAGGCCAGTCTGGCTCTTTCCTTTCCATCATCAAAGAGCGGCCACGCCTCTCCACAGACGGAAGGCTCAGTGGGCAGGCCTGGGGCCAGATTCCCACATTTTGTTCCTGCCTGGACCCTGTGACTCCTCTGCCCAGAGTCAAAGCTTTCCTGGGATCTGTGCTGCAGACCCTTGCCCTGTGAAATAGGAACCCTAACACCTGTGGGCTAGGGACAGGATGCCAAGCGTGCCAGCCAGTGTCTTGCTTGCAGAAAGCAGAGATATCTTTAATTATGGCATTGAGCCTCACCTTGACTGTTTGGGGGACCCCTCACTCATCTCTGGGTCTACAGGCATCGCTCCAGCTTCCGTGATGTCCCCCATTCTGAGCTGGGTAACTTTTCTTCCCCTGGCTGGCAAGTGTCCAGCTCTCCAAGGAGACCAGAGAGCCCTCAGCCCTCCCCTGGCACATCTGGGTTCTCAGCCCAGCCAGCAGCAGCTGCAGCATCAGCCCGTCAGCAAGAGTGGGGCCAGAGATTAGCTCGGGAGTGCTCAGCTTAGATGTAAAAGCTCTCCAGACCTCTCTGAGAAGGCTGGTCGTGCCTCCCACTCTCTTGGCAGACTTGGCCTGAGGCCCTCATTCCCTTAACCTCTTCCCCATAATCTTTCCTGATTCCTTGTCTGCCCCTCATCATAGAGGCCCTGGCTGCACTGGACCCCTTTTCCCTGGGAGCTCCATGCACCCACGCTCAGGGTCCAGGCGGGACTTACTGGCCTCCAGGCCCTGGTCTGCCCGAGCCTTCCTTTCCTGAGACTGGCCCAGACTCTGCCTCCGTTGCAGCCTCAGAGTGGCTCACTGCAGGGTGTCCCGTCCAGAGATGAGATGGGCTGCATCCTGAGTCTCTTGGTGCCGCTCCCCCTCTTCAAATAATATCCTCTCCCACAGTGCTCCTCACAATGCTCAACCACACCTGGGGGCTTGCCATGAATCAGTGCCCCAGGCCCTTGGCCTGACATTCCACGGTGAGCTCCCAGACCTCAGGCCTTCCTGCCACCCTGACCCACTGGGCCCAGTGGACACCTGATAGCAGGCAGAGATGATAGCTTTTCTGTTTTTATTTAGCTCCTTCTGTTCCCTCTCTCAGATCACAGACTTGGGGTATGGGCACAGGCAGGGGATATGGATGCCACACTATCATGAGACCAAACCGGGCGTCACCCACACTCCCACGTACAAGTCCCCCTGTCCAAAAGCCCCCTTTCTCCTAAAAAACATCAAGAGAACATAGGGCTCAAAGCCACAGAAATGCGAAGTTTACTTTCCAAGAAGAGTCCATCAAGTCCAAATGGAAGAGCCCCAGCACGATCCTTGTTCCTTGCCCAGAGCCACCACCCCTGGTTGGGATCGGGGCGGCGGAGAGGGGTGCTGGGGAGTGCAGCCCTGGGCTCGAGTTCCTTCCCAACTGCCAAGGCTGCCTCCTCTCTCTATCGGGCCTCCTCGGCCATTCAGATTTTCTCGGTCCAGGACATGTTTTAGTAGTCTTCCCTTTTGTAGCCCTCCTGCCATTGGTTGCTCCCCGCCGGCCTCCCTCCAGGCGCACCGGGTCGCTCCGGGGCCAGTCAGCAGTGCTGGAAGCCCAGCCCGGGGCCCGCACGCAGGTGCCCCCGCGGCCAGGCGAAGGGAGCCCCGGGACCTCGGCGCCAGCTTCCCGTGGACGCCTGGGCCGCGCCCGGAGCCTCGGCCACCGCCCGGGGCCGTCCCGGGGGCGTGTGCGGGGAGCACGAGGCGCAGCGCGGCGCGAAGGGGCCGGCGGGCGGCGGGGCGGGCGGCGGCGGGCTGGGGGCCGCATCCCCGCTGCCCCCCGCGCGCGCGGCCTGGCCGTGGCACTCCAGGTGCCCGCAGGGCCAGCGGGGCGCGGGGCTGGCGCGCAGGACCAGGGAGAGCGCCGCGATGCGGTGGATGGCCCTGCGCAGCGTGGCGATCTTGGAGAGCCTCTTGCCGCCCAGGTCGTGCCGCAGCGCCCGGCGGAGCGCGTTGAAGGCCTCGTTGTAGTCCAGGATGCGCTTGCGCTCCCGCACGTTGGCCGCCATGCGCCGCGCCTTGGAGCGCACGGGCCGGGCGCGCTTCCTGCCGCCCGCCGCCTCCTCGGCCTCGCCGTTCTCCCTCAGCACCCCAAAGCTCCTCCCGGCCTCCAGGCAAGAGCCCCCCAAGTCCTCGGAGGAGCCCTCGGCCCCCTTGAGGCCTCTGAGGCCCCCTGGCGCGCCTCGGTGCATGGCCTTCCCCGGGCCTTGCTGCCCCGGCTCTGGCTCACGGGGCTGACAGTCCACGTTCTGAGCGTTGACTCCCGCAGGCCGGACACTCCCCGGACGGGCCCTCTCTGGCTGGGCTTTATGGCACCACGTGGCTCTCCACCCTTCCCATCCATCCATCTCCCTCCTCCTGCTTTATTACCTGCCTCCAGGTAAGCTGGCGAGGGAGGAACCGAGAGGAAGGAAACAACGAAGGGAGGAAGCATGCAGATTCTTGTACAAGGGGACCAGACGGGCAGCCCGGCCACGCCCGGGGCAGTGCTCCAGCCACCAGGGAGAACTGGCTCTGCCTCACTCCAGGGCCCCTCTCTGGCGACCAGATTGAACATTCTACCTGCAGACCCCAAATACAGTGCCAAATGTGGCCCCCGGGCAGGAGTGCTGATGGGGTACCGAAGGGTCACAGGGCTAGTTGAGTGTGTGTCACAAACCTTGAAAGTTCTTGTCAAGGCCTGTGAACAACACAGAGCTGTCCTTGAGGAAAGCGTGACTGTCCCAGTGGGGCCCACAAGAGAGGGACTTACCTGATACAGCAGGGCCCTGCAGATAACAGGGACCTAGAGCTTCTTGCTTTTTCAGCTATGCGAGTGAGGCTGACTGGGATTCTGGGTTTGGGTTTTGATCGGGCCTTACTCTACCTCTACCTCTCTTTGGCCCCCACTTCTGAAGGCAGAGCTGGACTGAGTCAGCAGCAGAGGGTGATGGAGATGGTCCTGTGGCCCTCTGGGTCCCTTTGTGGTACCCATCAGGGGCATCTCTTGGTATTCAGGGCCCTTGGGCTGCTCTGTCTCATGACACAGCACTGCCAAGTTATGAACTCAGTGAACCCACCGATTCCTGGGGACTTGAAGTTTATTTATTTTTTAAAAGATTTATTTATTTATTTGTTTGTTTGTTTGTTTATTAGAGAGAGAGAGAGAGTGAGAGCAGGAACACAAGCAGGGGGAGTGGGAGAGGGAGAAGCAGGCTCCCCACAGAGCAGGGAGCCCGACACGGGGCTCGCTCCCAGGACCCTGGGATCATGACCTGAGTCATTTAGCAGATGCTAAATGACTGAGCCACCCAGACATCCCGGATTTGAATTTTAAATAGAGTCTCTGGAAAAAGAATAATACTTAATCCTAGAGAAAGACCCTCAGTGGAAGTTCAGGCATCCACAAGTGAGTTAGTTGGAGCACCAAGCTCAATCTCATTCCCAGCCACAATCCAGAATGCCTCCAAAATGCAAAGGCTTGCTGTGGCATCAGCTGGGATGGGTATAGGGTTCACATCTATCTCACCAGAGAGCATGCCAACCACCCCATTATTTCAGACTATTCATTACTCCACGGAGGAAGAGAACAGGGCACTAGGAAACAAATTATGCATGTATCTGTGTGATTATTTGTTTTATTGTCAGTCTTGCTCACTAGACTGTAAGCATCCTAAGGACATTTGTATTTCTGGGGCTCTATTCTCCAAATCTGCAATATCTGTGAAAGTCAAAAGTAAATGAAGGCAGAGAGAAGTGGATGTTTTCTCCTCTCTACTCAACCCATCGCCCCACAACACACACACATGCACACACAATCACACAGAAATGCATGCCTCCAGCAGAATTCTAGACAAAGCAGAGGCCACAGATGGCTGAGCACCCATGTCTACCCATCCAGCTCATAACAGGATGTCAGTCTCACTGGGTCTCAGAGCAAGAGGTCAAAACCCAGAGAATCCGGTTTCTGAGTGTTACATTCTATGACCACCTCTGCTCCCATCCCTATCCATGTCCCTTAGCCCCTCCATGCCACTTGAGAGAGAGAATTGAGTCACTGCCCTGCTCATGGATTTGCCCAGCCCTTCAGAAAAGCCTGGCCCCAAGGGCCAAGGGTGGGCAGGTCAGGAGGTAGCAGGTGAGCATTTCAGTCCCAGAAGGGCCAGGTGGGAGAAGTGATTTGGTGAATGGAAGCCCTCTCCTGCCCTACCCCCCAGCCAGTGTCCCCTTCTGAAACTTCCCTTAGCCAGTGTCCCTCTCTGAAATTTCCCCCACCCAGGGCACAGTTGGGCATCTGAGTACTTCCAGAGAATTCCACTGGACAGGGAGTCAGGAGACCTGGTTCTAGTTCTGCTACCAACTTGCTACATGACTTAGTACCAGTCATATCTTCTTCTCTGTACCTCAGTTCCCTTTTCTTTGCAAAGAAGACATCCTCTCTACAAAAGAAGGTAGGCAGGACCAGTTACATAATTTGCAGGGCCTGGTGCAAAAGGAAAACGTGGGGTTGCTTGTTCAAAATTATCGAGAATTTGAAGATGGTGACAGCAGAGCATTAAACTGAGCTTGGGGCCCTTCTAAGGGGGGGTGCACAGGTCCCATGCCCATGAAGCTGGTCTTGAGAGCAGGACACAGTAGTGTAGTTGTAATGAGCACAAACTCATCTGATATTTGCTTCTTTCATAAAGACCTAGGGAAAGGCTCTGAACCTCAGTCCTCAGACCTCTAGGATACCAGCCTCAGAGGTCTCAGTGAAATGGGCCCCAGTAAAGAGTCGTCCTTAAGAAATGCTGCACCTGGTTATCTTGAGGGTAACCCCAGTCTGAGTGTGATCATTAACAGGTTTCCCCTCCCCCATGGTGTCTCCAGGGAGCCCATAGCCCTCCCCCCATCAGGAGGAAATAGATGGGCAAGCCCAGAGCCCCCACCATCTTCATAGAAGGATAGACATGACCTACCCAAGGAATCCTTCCCTTCCCACCGAGCCCCAGGGTAGCCCCACAACAATCCTATATGGAAGGCCTTGTTATTATAATACCCATTTTACAGACTGCGACCCAGAGAGAATTAAGTAACTTGCACCAAGTCAGAGGGCTGAGCTGTGGCAGAGCCAGGATTTCAAATAAGGCAGTGTGGCTCCTACTCAAAGATCAAGCTCTTAACCCCTCTGGGCTGGACCTGCCTTCTCAACTCAGGGAGTCCCCCCACCCCCACCAACCACCTGCCAGTATTAGAGGCTTGGCACCTGCCCTTTGAAACAAAAGCCATTAAGATATTCAAATAGTTTCAACCAAGTGTAAAAAATCAAAAGAGCTTGGCTGAAATATAGAGAAGGGTTGGGGTAGGGAGGGAGGGCCCCCCCCCCCCCCCCCAGTGAAGAAAGACAAGTAGGAAAGAATAGAGAATATAGGCTGGAAGCCAGGAAAAGTCCAGAGGAGCCCAACTGCCTGCCTCCTGGGCTGAGATTTGTTGCCTGGGGTTCCCTTGGCTAATCCTATTTCCAACACCAGCTGATCTGATGACTGCCGGGACCCCAGGAAGAGCACAAGAGAGGAGGAGTGACAAACCCGTGCCCCCCTGCTTACCTTACTGCAGGTGAGCAAGGGCCCAGTAAGCCAGGAGTAGCCCCAGGAGAGTCAAGATCAGCCTGGAGCTCTCTACGCACACAGGGTGGGAAGGCCAGAGTTCTGGATGGAGTTCTGGTTGGAGGTCAGTGGACTGCAAGGGGTCACTAGCCTCTGCAGCCACTTCTAACCCTTTCTCCTCTGTGAAGCCAGCCCCGAGCCCTTCCCCACAGGGCTCCCTTCTTTATTTTTATTTATTTTTTTAAATAAGATTTTATTTATTTATTTATTTGAAAGAGAGAGAGAGCAAGAGTGGGGGGGGGTGGAGCAGAGGGAGAAACAGACTCCTGCTGAGCAGGGAGCCTGATGTAGGGTTCGATCCCCAGACCCCGGGATCATGACCTGAGCCGAAGGCAGATGCCTAACCGACTGAGCCAACCAGGCATCCCTGTATTTTTATTTTGTTTAAAAATCAATTAACATACAGTATATTATTAGTTTCAGAGGTAGAGTTTAGTGATTCATCAGTTGCATATAACACTCAGTGCAGTGCCCTCCTTAAGGTCTATCACCCAGTTACCCCATCCCCCCACCCACCTCCCTTCCAGCAACCCTCAGTTTGTTTCCTAGAGTTAAGAGTATTTTATGGTTTGTCTCCCCCCACCGATTTCGTCTTATTCTCTTTTTCCCTCCCTTCCCCTATGTTCATGTTTTGTTTCTTAAATTCCACATATGAGTGAAACCATATGATATTTGTCTTTCTCTGACTGACTAATTTCGTTTAGCATAATACCCTCATAGTGATTCGAAGGGGCATCTGCACCCCAGTATTTATAGCAGCAATGTCCACAACAGTCAAACTATGGAAGGAGCCCAGATGTCCATCGACAGATGAATGGATAAAAAAGATGTGGTGTGTATATATATACAATGGAATATTACTCAGCCATTAAAAAGAAATCTTATCATTTGCAACGATGTGGATGGAACTAGAGGGCTCCCCTTCTTAACTCCATCTCAGAATTTAGCAGGTCATATTGTACTTTTATGTTTATGCTGGGTCCACATCTAGGTCCTCTCTGTATTCCCAGTCCTAGCACAGTGCCTGGTACATAGCAGGTGCAAGGAAACAGTTTCTGAATATTGAATAAATGGTGCAATCCCTGATATTAAGAAATTTATGAAACTATGGAAACTCCATACTGGTCTGATTAAACAAGCTCTATATTCAAATCCAGTAAACATTTATTGAACATCGACAAATACCGGGCTCAGTGGTATAGGCTTTCACGTGTGTTGACAACCACAAATGTGTATTACCTTAAGTTTATAGAAACTCAGGATTAAAATAGAAGGAAACAAACTGTGCAGCCACATAGAAATGCTTTGGAATTCCCCACCCACCCCATTCCCTGGGGGGAATTTGACAGTTGTCTAAGCTGTGGTTCTCTGGGTACCTGGCTGGCTCAGTTGGTAGTGCATGTGACTCTTGATTTGGGGGCGGGGGTGTAAGTTCAAGCCCCATGTTAGGTGTAGAGATTACTTAAAAATAAAATGTAAAGGGGTGCCTGAGTGGCTCAGTCGTTGAGCGTCTGACTTTGGCTCAGGTCATGATCCCGGGATCCTGGGATCGAGTCCCACATCGGGCTCCCTGCTCAGCGGGAAGCCTGCTTCTCCCTCTCCCACTCCCCCTGCTTGTGTTCCCTCTCTTGCTGTGTCTCTCTCTGTCAAGAAAATAAATAAATAAATTTTTAAAAAATACAATAAAATCTAAAAAACAAGAAAGAAAGAAAAGGCTGTGGTTCTCATAGTGTGTTGTATAGGCAGCAGCGTCGGAGACCTCATCCCAGATCCATGGAATTCAAAGTTCTGTCTTAACAGCAACGTGGTTGGAATGCTCAGAAGGATACATTCGTTCCTCCAGAGTCCAGCTCTGCGGCTATTACATTTTGGCTTGCGTAAGAATGACTGCTGAGGGTTATTTACATCATGCCTTGCATACCAGAACATTAGGTTTATTCAAGGGTAATTCTGATCACATGCAATTTTCTTCTCACGCATTAACTTTAGAAATCCCTACCCATGTGTTGGATGGAGGGAAAATTTATGACAAGAGACAACTATGGGTCTCAAAAGGAACAAAACAGCCATAGAAAATCAGCAGGGAAAAAAAACAAACAAACGAGATTGAACCACCGACTTCTCTTCTGGTCCCCTAACATGAACCCTCAAATCGACCTTAAACCGAGGTTAGGAAAAGCCAAGAAGGGCGCCTGGGTGGCTCAGTTGGTTAAGCAACTGCCTTCGGCTCAGGTCGTGATCCTGGAGTCCCGGGATCGAGTCCCACATCGGGCTGCCTGCTCGGCAGGGAGTCTGCTTCTCCCTCTGACCCTCCCGACCCTCCCCCCTCTCATGCTCTCTCTCACTCACTCTCTCTCCAATAAATAAATAAAATCTTTTTAAAAAAATTAAAAAAAAAAAAAGGAAAAGC